CCTTCCAATGGGCTGCCAGGTTTTGTCGAACCGAACGACCCGGCTTCCTCTTCATGGACGACGACTTCGGCTTCCACCCAACAAATCTACGTCGTTTTCTCGCACGCCTTGAGTCAGACTGGCGAGAGCGCATGGTCGTTAGTGTGGAACAAACTAAACAACAGGCACCCCGCTTCGGAAACGATCCCAAAACCGATAAATGGGCATTCTCCAAGCATGAGATGCCATGGCCGCGATTGGCACCATACTGTTTTGGTAACTTCTACTTCCTTGGTTATGAACTCGTGGAGAAGTTGGCCATCGCTATGCATTTTACTCGCCCCATCCCTATTGACGACGTCTGGTTGGGCCTGGTGATGACGAAGTTGGGTCTGCGCTTCCAATACCGACGTGGCATTCGTTTAGTCCCTGGAGCCACTGGCACTAGCAAGCGAGACATTATAATGCCGATGACGGGTATGTATAAAAGACTAAGTATATCAAATAGCTGACACTGTGTATAGCTAGCAACACCGGCAACCACTTAAAATACAGCTTTTGTTATTTTGAAACAGCTTTTTCTTTATTTATCATGCGGGCACCTATTACTATGGAAATATTGCACATAAGTGTAAGATGTTTGGTGGTACAAATAAAAACTTATTCCTGCTAAACCATCATGATGAATCCGTCTTTATATAGCATAGGGAATTGTGTTGGTAAATTTTAAAGCATAAGCGTGTCACGCTTATGGTGACTTTGTTGCTGTTGACATTTCTGCTCCATTGAATTTGGAACATATGAACCGGGAAGATTGTTGTTGTCCATCTAAATGGATGGGTCGATAAAATGACTGTTTACCGAATCATAAATCAAGAAGGCAGAGTAAAGTGAAGTGATGTTTAATAAGAGAACTAAAGACAACGGCCTTTGAACTCCCTGTTGGTGCACAGTAGTTAAGAAATGCGTAGGCACAGCCGAGCATTTCAAAGGTTGTAGACATAACTGTGAGCAATTACTCACTTCTTACAAGTAATATGATCACGTGTGGTGATGTCATTTAACACGAGCCAGCAGTTGTAACTGAGTAAAACGGTTAAAGAGTGAAACAAACTCCTAAGGCATGGCTCAAAATTCAAAAACGGGATATGATTTCTGTTTTTTAGAAGAAAAACTGTCAGTCATGGAATACTGATATGCTGCTGTGAATGTTAACGGCAAGCCAGGAGGCCATCCGCGTAATATCTTTGTCCGAAGGGTCACATGAGGAGATACGAGAACATCCCCAAGAACCAGAGTCACAAGCACGATGCGCTCTATCTATGACAAAAGCAGAGGAACCCGCCACGGTCGTCAGTAGCCGGTGCTTAGGTCGATATGAAGCAGAACACGACAAGGCCCCGCAACCTTGGACTATCGTTGCAGTAGAGGCGACTGCACACGCGATCATTGCAGTTCACGTAGTAAGTAAGGGGGAGCGCGAAGTTATTTGCTATGAAGGGCTAAAACAATGTTTCGAGTAAATAATAATCTTACCTATAAAAAGTTCATGGTATATTTATATCATTTAAATGTTTAGTTTCTGAGGGCTCCGTGTTCTTTCGGCTGACTTGTTAGCACGTAAGGCTGCGCTGGTAACGCTTTGTCTTAACGATGCCCACGGATGGGGATATGAAAATATCTGCAGGAGGGGTATTCCATGCCTACTTACTCTTTAAGAGAAAATTAATTGTTTTGTGTCAATTCTTGCAACAGGCACACGTACTTTGAGAGGGAAGTATTAGTTGCCAGCTTAAAGATGTCATGAAATTAAGGACAAAAAACCTTACCCCGCAACAGCGAAATGCCTTTATAAGGCCATCACGTACCGATCTATAAACCGGGGAAACAAACCAAGATTGGACACACGTTTCTCGTAAGACAGGCAACATTGGCCCTGTTACTTATATTGTTGCGCGGCATTGGGACATTACAGGAGTGTTGGGCCTTTCATTGTCCGAGGTCCACAGTCTTGCATGGCAAATGCCAATTAAGGTCGCAGGAAAATGCGAAAGACTTGGCCAAAGACAAAATCATTGAACATAGCAAAGGCGCGCTTGATTAGATGGAAGCTGGACATTAGGGATTTTGCCACCTGCAAATTGTGGAGTAGTGGCTTAAGTGGAGGCATGATCCAAATTTCCTGATGCTTCTCAGACTCTCCCTTTGACAACAGCGTAATATACCCTCCGGTGCGCATTCTGTTTTGCCGAAGTGCATTACATTTCATTTGGCCGCAATGAATGGCATGACCCACTACTTCGACTATGGCTCAGGTCGATGCAAAAGTGTCTGGAGATTTAATTCATTGTCTTCGTTGCGTATGACCTTCCACAGTCTTAAGTCATCAGCAAACATGACTACTTCACAATGTAATTCGCTTATTTAGTCATCAATATATATAAAGAGGACGATAGGGCCAATAACGAAATCCTGGGTAAA